ATTACTGTTTGGATGTCAATACTTTTGAATTGTATCTGATGGGTGTTGTTCACCGGATATACTCGTTACAAGACAAATATAATAATTTCTTTCTATATTTTAAAAATAATTTTAAAAGATATAATATTCTTTTTCTTATGATATTTTAAATCTAGATTTATTAATTGACTTTGATGGGTGATGTTATTGATTTTGAAATCATATTTAGTTATTAATTCACAAGAATGTATTTATGAACACTGTTGCGTTGTTTTAGGATGAAGTGAGAACGAATTATTGTATTTTAAAATAAATTAGAATGATACTCATGCAATGCAACGAGATACATCTTGATTTTAATGTTTCGTTTTATATTTTGACTCTATCGATGTTATAATGCGATTTTATATGGTTTTGAGAAAAAATAAAATGTTTTTATTTTTTAATGAAATATTATAATTATTTTTTAAAAATAAGCGAAATTAGTATTAAATCAACTACTTAAAAGTCCTATTTTTAACGTAATTTCTTTAATTTATTCTTTTATTCTAATTTAATTTAAGTTTAATAATGAAATAATTTATTTTTGGTTTAATATTATAAATTTTATAAAGATAATAATTAAGTATTATGTTAGATTCAATGATTATCCTAATTATATTTTAGATTTTTTATATTTAAAATGAGATGTTTATCCTGTATTTGATTATGTTTATCTGCATAGTTACACAAATTCAGATATAGAGATTTAATAAATTGTACTTATGCACAATCTACTTGCAATCTTGAGATTTAAGTAATATGAGGTCTGAGGGGCTGAGGGGATCACCAAAAGAAGTCTGAGGGGCTGAGGGGATCACCAAAAGAAGTCTGAGAGGCTGTTTATTAATGCATATTACTTAAAACTCAAGATTGCAAGTAGATTGTGCGTAAGTACAACTTATTAAATATTCATATCTGAATTCGTGTAACTAACTGCAGATAAACATAATCAAATACAGGTGGAGGCATGTGAGTGGGGAATTATAAGAGAATACTTAATTATTATCTTTATAAAATGTTATATTATTAAATCAAAAATAAATTATTTCGTTATTAAACTTAAATTAAACTATAATGCTCTCTCACACAAGTGGGGGCATGTGAGTGGTGAATTAAACGAAGTTAGATAGAGGGACTTGATTCGTAACAAAAGTGAAACTATGATGATCATGGTTGTAATTAATTCGTTTGAGAGACTCGATTCAAAATTTCATGAAACAACAGGGATGAAATCTATAATTTACTCTTTTTTTAAATTGGGTAAATTGCATACCTATTTTGGGTAACGTRCTTTCAAAACTTTTATTTTGATACCTAAGATGTAAAGTTTTAAACATTTAAATATCCGGGTAACTGGTTGAAGCATTAACCGGTTACCATGCCGGTGTGGCGAGTGATGAGATGAAATTGGGTTGAATAACAAATAATACTGGGTTGGATACCACATCACTCACCATATCAGCATGGTAATCGTTTAATGCTGCAACCGGTTATACAGATACTTAAATGTTTAAAATTTTACATCTTAGGTATCAAAATAAAAGTTTT